AACAGAGTGAGACTCGATCTCAAAAGAAAAAAAAAAAAAGAATAAAAACTTCAGCTCCCTCTAGAGCCTTTTCTTTCCTAACCTCCACTTCCGGTCCCTTAGCAACCTTAAAGTTATTCCAAATGTGACTTCTCAATATCCACTGGTTTCACCCTACTCCAAGCCACCATCATCTCTTACCTGACAATGGCCTCCTAAGCGACCTGCCTGCTCTTATGCCTCTTATGCCTCTTATGTCTCTTATGCCTGAAAAGGCCACTCTCTAAAGAGAAATCACAGCCCTTCCTTTCCTAAACATCTTCCCAGATAAGATGGCTTCCCACTACATTTAGAATGAAATCCAAGCTTCTACAAGACCCTACACAATCCATTTCTTGCACTACTCTTGATGTTCAGTCACAAAGGCCTCCTTTCTGCTGCTCAAACCATTTGCAGCCTACCCCAGGGCATTTATGTGCACTGGTATTTCTCTCCGCTGGAATAATCTCCCCCTCGTCACCCGAGAGCCAGCTTCTTCTCAATCACTGAGGTCTCAGCTCAATGACACCTCCTCAGAGAGGCCTTCCTTAGCACCCTGTCTCACCTCCTCTCCAGTCCTCGAGTGACACTATCACAACAGTCTTGGTTCCTTCATAACATTTACTAGCAGCTGAAATTAACCTTTCTCTAGCTCCTGCGCTAGAAAGTAAGGCTATGAGCAGATGCCAATACTGCAAACTCCCCAGAGCCGAGAAGAGTTCCTGGCACATAGTAGGTCCTCAAGAAATACTTCTTGAAAAGATGCATAACAACAGGTAACCCTCACTGAGCTCCTATAGTGTGCCGACTGGTTTATTTAGTACCCACAGCAACCCCATAAGGAGGGTGTTATTTTTTCATCATTTCACAGAGAAGGAAAATGAAGCACGTTGAGGTTAAGCCATTTGCCCGAGGTCTCACAGCTACAGGGGGCAGGGCTAGGATGAGAACCAGGCTCGAGACCCCAGCACCCGAGGGCAGGGTGGGTCGCGGCCCCTCTGCCGGCTCGCTGGCCGAGCAGCTCCGCATCCCGCCAGTCTGGGCAGCCTGGAGACGAGGCAAGAGCCCCAGCTGGAGGGATGAGCGCCCCAGGGCTCGGGTCTGTCCGATCACCTCCGCTGTGTCCGAAGCAGCGGGTGCCTGCCCCCCTCCCAGCCTCACTCTCCCCCAGGAACCGATACCTGCACCGGCGTCATGTACGGGAAGCCCAGCTCCCGCAGCGCGCCCAGCACCCGCGGGTGCAGTGACACTGGCAGAGACTCCCAGGAGCCCTCCGTCACATGCTCCATGGCGCTCTCCTTTGCCGCCTCGGTCGCCGCTGCTCGAAGGCGCCCTGTGCACCCCCAACGAGCACTTCCGCTTCCGGCAGCTCCGGCGGCCGGCCGGGAACTTTGCTGGAGCAGCAGAGTTCCGGAGCGCTGCGAAGGCTCCAACGCCGCGGGAGCGAGGAAAGGCGCCCGCGGGACGGTGGAGGCAGGCGGCGGGGCAGGCTCGGGGAGTTACACCCGCCCCGCACCCCTGGGCTCCGGGCGCCTCTCAGCACCGGGCAAGGGTTTTGGCGGGAGGGAGTCTGGCCCGGCTCTCCCACTTTCTTTGTCCCTCGGAGGCAGGTGGCAGCACAGGACCGCGTCCAGGCCGAAGGACCGCGGGACTGGCTGCCGTGGGCAGAGAAACGTGTCGGGGCCCCGGGTTAGCAGCCCCGCAAAACAGGCACCCGCTGATGGTGGGGGTCCGATGGCCGGTACATCCTGAATGTTGGTTTACTTTCCCGGAAGTTAGGGTCAGAGTCCTAAGTAAGAACACTGTCCTATTCCACTGTTCACAGTTGGCCTGGGCCATTCATGTCCACATACACCTTCACTCAGCAAGCTTTTATTGACCACTCATTACGTGCCCTCTATGAGGGCCTATCTCCTCCAGCTATGTGCATGACTTGCTCCTGTTGAGGCTCTGAAAACGAAACCCCAAAATGAAGACCCCAGAGGCAGCCTCAGAAGCAAGTTTCTCTCTGACCTTCTGCCCCGTCTCTGATCTCTGATTCTGTGAGGCTGGCCATAGAAACTCAAGAATCCCTCTTGCCCGTCATGATGGAGCATAGAAACGGGAACCCCTTTTCTCCAAAGTCAGCCATAAAACCTAAAAATATTACTCTAACTCTCTCTTCTCCACCTTTCTGTGAAAAAACTGGCCATAAAGAAATTATCGGCCGGACATGGTGGCTCACGCCTGTAATCCCAGCACTTTGGGAGGCCGAGGCGGGCAGATCACGAGGTGAGGAGTTCGAGACCAGCCTGGCCAATATGGTGAAACCCCGTCTCTACTAAAAATACAAAAATTAGCCGGGCGTGGTGGCGCATACCTGTAAGTCCCAGCTACTCGGGAGCCTGAAGCAGAAGAAGAATCGCTTGAACCAGGGAGGTGGAGGTTGCGCCACTGCACTCCAGCCTGGGCGACAGAGTGAGACTCAGTCTCAAAAAAAAGAAAAGAAAAGAAAAAAAGAAATTACCTGGGCTGGGCGCGTGGCTCACGCCTGTAATCCCAGCAGTTTGGGAGTCCGAGGCAGGTGGATCACCTAAGGTCAGGAGTTTAAGACCAGCCTGGCCAAAGTGGTGAAATCCCGTCTCTATTAAAAATACAAAAAAATTAGCCAGGTGTGGCAGGTGCCTGCAGCTACTCCGGAGGCCGAGCAATGGGCATCGCCTGAACCTGAGAGGTGGAGGCTGCAGTGAGCCTAGATCGCACCACTGCATTCTAGCCTGGGCGACAGAGTGAAACTGTTTCAAAAAAAAAAAAAAAAAAGGCCAGACGCAGTGGCTCACGCCTGTAATCCTAACACTTTCAGAGGCCGAGGTGGGCGGATTGCCTGAGCTCGAGTTCGAGACCAGCCTGGGCAACACGGTGAAAGCCCGTCTCTACTAAAAATACCAAAAAAATTAGCCGGATTTGGCGGCGTGCACCTGTAGTCCCAGTTACTTGGGAGGCTGAGGCAGGAGAATTGCTTGAACCCAGGAGGGGGAGGCTGCAGTGAGCCAAGATGGCGCCACTGCACTCCAGCCCGGGCGACAGCGAGAGACTATGTCTTAAAAAAAAAAAAAAAAAAAATTCTGACCTCTTTTGTTTTGCTTGTAGGTTGTAAGACCCCATTACAGGAAGGGTTCTGTCCCCTACCCAGAAGGAAGGAATGCTGCACAGAGAGGCCGAAAAGAATCCAGACAGGCCTTGCTGGGCTTCCCCACTCAGTCTGTGAGCATTAGATCATGCCCTTCTTGTCCAGTCCTATTTCTACTCAGCTGTGCATATTTTGTTGAGCCTAAGCATAAAAATGAATATTTTTCCCTGTAACTTTGGGTCTTAATTCTGAAGGTTCCTTTGTTGTGCAAAACCATGACCAAATAAATTTGCATCACTTTCCTCCTATTAATCTGCCTTTTTTCAGTTGAATTTTTAGAGAAACCTGAGGACAAAAGGTAAGTTTTCCCTTACACTCCCTTACATTCCACTTGGACTTTTGAAATCACCTTCTCAGTGTTACCTTCCTTTCCGCATCACTGAAACTCCTACCCTCATTTATTTTCCCTTCTTAGCATTTACCATTATCTTTCTTGCTACACACACACACACAACTTACTAGGTTCATCTCTGCCACCAAAATGTAAAACCCACACTAATGGGGTCTTTTCTCTATCTTCTTTATCCCAGGGACTATCACTGTAGCACACAGCAATCACTCAAATATTTGTGGGATCAATAAATGGGAATACAACTCATGCAGACTGCAGTCATCTCAAATTAAAGACAACAGCCTAAAGCCACATTTTCAATGAAATGATCATCACATTCTCAAAACTCTTCGACAACTTTTATAAAATGGGACTTCGGCCAGGCACGGTGGCTCATGTCTGCAATCACAACACTTTGGGAGGCTGAGGCAGGAGGATCACTTGAGCCCAGGAGAATGAGGCCAGCCTGGGCAAGGTACAGGAGACTCTGTCTCTATGAAAGTAATTTTTTAATTAGCTAGGCATGGTGGTGCATGCCTGTGGTCCCAACTACTCGGGAGGCTCAGATGAGAGGATCACTTGAGAGGTTAAGGCTGCAGTGAGCCATGTTTGTGCCACTGCACTCCAGTCCAGGTAACAGAGCAAGACCCTGCTTTTAAAAAACAAAAGATGTAGTCCCAGCTACTTGGAGAGCTGAGGTGGTAGGATCACTTGAGCCCGGGGGGTTGAGGTCAGTGAGCAGAGATCAAGCCAACGCACTTCCACCTGGGAATAGAGTGAGATCCTGTCTCCAAAAAAAGAAAAGGGGGGCATTTCACAGACAGTTCTGAAAGCAAAGGCACAGAGAAATTGCGTATCTGTGTGTGTCTTCTGTGCTCTACTACCTACTAGTTTTCTGACCTTAGGACCCATTCCAAGCCTGTTTTCCTCCTCACTTCCAAAATGATTTTACCCAAGGTAATGGCAGTTTTGAAGCATGAATAAGACAGACCAAGTAAAGTGCTTAGTACTGGATCAAGACATTACACAGTACTCAATAAATCGTAGCTACTTTTATTACCAGCAGGCCGTTAGTTTCACAGAGGAAGGAGTTTCTACAGGTGGTGATCTAGTCTCTGGTTCCACCTTTCACTCTCTTACCTGTGGCCTTGGGCACATCATTTAATCTGTCTTTAAAGCTATTTCCCACATTCATAAACCACATGGGCGAGTGAAAATAATTCAACCCTTTCTTTTTTCCCAAATAGAAAACTACTTGAGATTTTAGCACTGATCCATCAGAGAAGCCTCACTGGAAAACCTGTGCAGAAACGAAAACTTGGTACCGTTCACTATCCTCAAGCTTATAGAATTAAAAAGTAACAGACATAATAGGCATAAATACTCAGAAAACATGGACATGTCTCATGTCAAATAAGAACAGAAAGTTGGTGTGTAAAAAATGTGAATTAACTGTCAATATATAAAACACAGAATACTGACTGTTTTTAAAAAGAATTGTTTATTTACTGAACCTGGGGCATATTAGATACAACCAATTTTAAATTTACATATTTTAAGTCAATTTTGAAGTGTTTCACACACACAAAAAAAACTGGTATGCAACAGTTGTCCTAAGGTGAAAGTCACCTCATTAATAAACTGTTGCAAGTGTTCTCACCCAAGGTGGAAAAATTGCTTATCCTGAACATGAAAACCTGTAACAAATTTAAATTAATTATATAAAACTCGTTACTTGTAGTCTTCCCCTTGCAAAGATCAAAAAAAAAAAAAAAATGTACAAGTAACTAATATATATCAGTCACAACATAATCCTGGATCATCCCCATACCGAAACCAGATGCTCTTTTAATTTTAAACCCATCATCAGAGAACAAGAGAAAGTCATTTCATTTTACACAAAACAAGATTCACATGTGCCAAAAAAGAAAGACCCAAGAAAAACAAAAACCCAAACCCTAATGCTGACACTGATGTTCAGTGCCCTAAACAGTGGCCCAAAGGCCACTGATCAAAAATAAAATAGTGGCTGTATATCACTGCAATGAAACCCAAGAGGCTTTAACCCTTTGGCATCAGAAATCTGGATTTTTCCAATTACGTAAATGTTTATTTCCTACATGCCAAGAGTGGGGGAAGTGAATGTGCCAGTGTGGAAAGAAAAAGAGCCACCACTCACTGGGACACCCAGAGAATTGGCTTTAACAGACAATTAGAAGGTTAGACAGAAACCCAAAAATGGTTATTAGCTGCTTGTGTCATCAATTTAAGTGGAGATGATTAAGTCCTAAGGTACAATGTAAAAATGTGTGCGGGAAAATGTATGCTGAGTCGTACTTTTAAAGCAAAAGAAGAAAACAAAGTATGAAAGTACCCAGCCTGGCGGCATACGCCCAAGTCAGAGAGCTCTGCCATTAGGATGGGCAGAAACCGTCAAGATTCATACTGTTGTTTCTCATAAGGACTCAACAAAATGAATCTGTAGTGACTTGAACCACAGACTGAGGGAATCCAAAGAATGCAGTCATTTTAGTAAAGTACTATCAGGCTTTGTGCTGATTTCCTGAACAAACTGCATTATATTATGAAAACACAAGTAAAAGAAGTAATAAAAACTATACTCCCATATTTCACTTACAGTGTTTGAGTTCCTGGAAGGACCTATATAATGGAGGCAGCATTCAAACAAGAAATTATGCCAATCAACTGTCAAATTTGCACTATAATTTTCCTAAAAAGGTGTTTTTCCCCCAATATCTATTCATCACAAAGAAACATAAATTGTGAATGTACAGTTCAGAAAATAAAAATGGAGAAACTAATGACATTATTATGACCAAGGTGTTTGGTAAACAGTGAATTCTGAGTTGGGATCATCAGGAAGAGGCTTTTTAAACAACCCTCCGGACTTCAAAAAATCTCTTCAGGTAGTAGATCTGTCCCAATGTCATGGCAACTAGAACAAGAGCTTCAAAGAAGGACCAAAGGACCACTCTGCTGTTTGTGTTGTCGTTGACTGTTGAGGACAAAACAAACAAACAAAATTTAACAATTCTCCCCCAAAAAACATAGGCATCATATTCTAGTCTCCACTCTGTGTGAAAGTAATATTGTGTACACCATTCATAGAATAGATGTTCCTCAAATTAAGATGGGGTTACATCCCAATAAACCCAGCTTACGTTGAAAATACCTAAGTCAAAAACATATTTAATACACCTAACCTAGCAAACATCATAGCTTAGCCTAGCCAACCTAAAACATGATCAGAACACTTACATTAGCCTACAGTTGAGCAAAAGCATCTAACAACACAAAGATTATTTTATAATAAAGTGTTGTATATCTCATATAAGTTAAACTGCATTTTATTATTTTATATTTTATTTATCAAGTTAGTGAACACTGCACCGAAAGTAAAAAACAGAATGGTTGCATGGGTACTTGATGCTCAGTTTCTTCTGAATGCACATCAGAATTTCTTCTTTTGCACCATTATAAAGATGAAAATTTCTAAGCGAAGTCATTGTAACCTATGGGTCACCTATACTGTAAATACTTTTGTCTCTGAGCAACTCAACATACTCAGAAGCAAATATTTTTTTGTTTGCTCTGTTGCCCAGGCTGGAATGCCATGACACAATCATAGTTCACTGCAACCTTGAACTGGACTCAAACAATCCTGCCACCTCAGCCTCCTGAGTAGCTGGGAGTACAGGTATGCACCAGTCCATCCGACTAATTTTTTCTGTTTTTGTAGAGAAAGGGTCTTGCTATGTTGCCCAAGTTGGTCTTGAACTCCCGGCCTCAACTGATCCTCCTGCCTCAGCCTCCCAAAGTAGAAGCAAAGATTTTTAAAAGAAACCTTAAAGATTCACTGGGTACAGCCAAGTCCATTCTGCTTGTATACAGGGAGCAGAGAAGAAAAGGTGACTTGCCCAAGGTCATAATTCTAGGGTTAAAACCCAATCCAACCCTCTTTCTCCCTCACCATTGAAACGTCCTATATTAGTATCCATTTTGCTGAATCAGAAAATTGACTTCTAAAAAAATTAAGAAATTATTTCAAAATCACTGTTATCCAAAATGCAATTATTTACAACATCAAAATATGGCAGTCTGAGTGTCTTTTTCCCCAAATATGTGACAAATATTTGTTCAGCACCTGTGTACTTGGCAATTGTTCTCAATGGAAGAGGCTACTCAGTTATATGGATCAATACTGACAGTTACTACCAGACCATCAAATACAAGACAAACTATTCTCATCTGTCCTGCTCTCAAACTAAGGATTTGATCCTTAAAGTAAAATAGACATCTACTCTATATTTATTTATTATACTCAATTTGTTACATTCAAGTTTCTGATCAAATTATTTTTATTTATTTATTTATTTTGAGTCAGAGTCTCACTGTCACCCAGGCTGGAGGGCAGTGGCGTGATCTCAGCTCACTGCAACCTCCGCCTCCTGGGTTCAAGTGATTCTGCTGTCTCAGCCTCCTGAGTAGCTGGGATTACAGGTGCTCAACACCACGCCCAGCTAGTTTTTGTATTTTTAGTAGAGATAGGGCTTCACCATGTTGGCCAGGTTGGTTTTGAACTCTTAACCTCTGGTGATCCGCCTGCCTCGGCCTCCCAAAGTGCTGGGATTATAGGCATAAGCCACCACGCCTGGCCAAATTCCTTTTATTTTTAAATGTATTTTATTTTATTTTATTTTTTTTTATGTTTTATGTTTTGACACAGAGTTTCACTCTTGTTGCCTAGACTGGAGTGCAATGATGCGATCTCAGCTCACTGCAACCTCCACCTCCTGGGTTCAAGCGATTCTCCTGCCTCAGCCTCCCGAGTAGCTAGGATTACAAGCATGCACCACCACACCCGGCTAATTTTGTATTTTAGTAATGATGTGGTTTCTCCATGTTAGTCAGGCTGGTCTCGAACTCCCAAACTCAGGTGATCTGCCCGCCTCAGCCTCCCAAAATGCTGGGATTATAGGCATGAGCCACCATGCCTGGCCAATTCATTTAATTTTTTAAAAAAACAGGGTCTTGTGTTGCCCAGGTTGGTCTCAAGCTCCTGACCTCAAGCAATCCTCCTGCCTCAGCCTCTGAAGCAGCTAAGACTACAGGCACAAGCCATTGTGTCCAACTCTCCAGTCAAATGCTATAGCCTTAGCTTTTAAAAATTACTATGTAAGCCAGGCACAGTGGCTCATACCTGTAATCCCAGCACTTTGGGAGGTTGAGGTGGGCGGATCATGAGGTCAGGAGATTGAGACCATCCTGGATAACACTGTGAAACCCCGTCTCTACTAAAAATAGACGTGGTGGCGGGCACCTGTAGTCCCACCTACTTGGGAGGCTGAGGCAGGAGAATGGCATGAACCTGGGAGGCGGAGCTTACAGTGAGCCAAGACTGTGCCACTGCACTTCAGCCTGGGCAACAGAGCGAGACTCCATCTCAAAAAAAAATTTCTATGTAGTATTTTATTTTTCTGCAAATGGCCAACATTAAAAACAATTACACTACAATCCCAACACTTTGGGAGGCCAAGAGGATTGCTTCAGCTCAGGAGTCAGAGGCCAACCCTGGGCAATACGGAGAAACCCAGTCTCTACAATACCAAAAAAAAAAAAAAAATAGCCAGGTGTAGTGGCACACGCCTGGACTTCCAGCTACTTGGTAGGCCGAGGTACTTCTAGCTATTTGGGAGGCTGAGGCGGGAGGATCACCTGAGCCCAGGAGGTTGAGGATGCAGTGAGCTATCTTGTCACCACAGCACTACAGGCTGGGCAACAGAGTAAGACACTGTGCCTCTAAAAAGGAAATAGGGCCGGGTGCAGTGGCTCACGTCTGTAATCCCAGCACTTTGGGAGGCCGAGGCAGGTGGATCACAAGGTGAAGAGATCGAAACCATCCCGGCCAACATGGTGAAACCCTGTCTCTACTGAAAATACAAAAATAAGCTGAGCTTAAAGATTTACTGGGTACAGCCAAGTCCATTCTGCTTGTATACAGGGAGCAGAGAAGAAAAGGTGACTTGCCCAAGGTCATAATTCTAGGGTTAAAACCCAACCCAACCATCTTTCTCCCTCACCACTGAAACGTCCTATATTAGTATCCATTTTGCTGAATCAGAAAACTGACTTCTAAAACAATTAAGGAATTATTTCAAAATCACAGTTATCCAAAATGCAATTATTTACAACGTCAAAATATGGTGGTGGCGTGCGTCTGTAGTCCCAGCTACTCAGGAGGCTGAGGCAGGAGAATTGCTTCAACTTCAGGAGGCGGAGATTGCAGTGAGCCGAGATCGCACCACTGCACTCCAGCCTGGGCGACACAGCAAGACTCCATCTTAAAAAAAAAACAACAAAAAACAGGAAAAAAAACAGAGTCTGATAAAAAGAAAAATAGGCCAGGCACAGTGGCTCATGCCTGTAATCCCAACACTTTGAAAGGCAGAGGCGGGTGGATCACTCAAGCCCACTGAGTTCAAGACCAGCCTAAGCAACTTCTGGGTTCAAGTGATTCTCCTGTTCAGCCCCCAAGGCAGCCGGGATTACGTGTGCCCAGCTAATTTTTTGTAATTTTAGTAGAGATGGGGTTTTACCATATTGGCCAGGCTGGTCTCTTTGGCCAGGCTGGTCTCGAACTACTGACCCGTGATTCGCCTGCCTCGGCCCCCCAAAGTGCTGGGATTACAGGCGTGAGCCACTGCGCCCGGCCTAATTTTTGTATTTTTAGTAGAGACGGGGTTTCACCATGTTGGCCAGGCTGGTCTTCAAACCCTGACCTCAGGTGATCCCTCCCGCCTCGACCTTCCAAAGAAAAATGCACCTTTAAGTTTAATAGAACACACTGAAGCACAATAACATCAGAAGCAGTGACCTGGGACACTGTCCTCATGCCACTCATATATTAGCCTGATCTGAAGCAACACGTTATTATTACAACCACTGTAGTGAAAGGGCTCTATTATGTTCACTGCTGAGGAGTAGGTCCTATAGGAAGACTCACAAAACAAAAACATTATGGGAACCATTTTGCTTTGTAAATTTAAACTGAATACCTATAAATTCAATTCTAGAAACTGCTAACACTTCTTATTTTATTATTTTTTTTTTTGAGACGGAGTCTCACTCTGTCGCCCAGGCTGGAGTGGCAGTGGCCAGATCTCAGCTCACTGCAAGCTTCACCTCCCGGGTTTACGCCCATTCTCCTGCCTCAGCCTCCCCAAGCAGCCTGGGACTACAGGTGCCACCACCCTCACCTGGCTAGTTTTTTTTTGTATTTTTTAGTAGAGACGGGTTTCACCGTGTTAGCCAGGATGGTCTCAATCTCCTAACCTCGTGATCCACCCGTCTCGGCCTCCCAAAGTGCTGGGATTACAGGCTTCAGCCACCGCGCCCGGCCTAACACTTCTAAATAAGAACACATAGCTCACTATCTGTGAAACAAATACAGGGGTATCTCCACTCAAATCACGGGTGAGAGAACAAGGTTGGACCCCCTAAAGACTGGAAGACATGTGCTTCCTCTGGCCACTGTGTTCCCAAGAACTTCTATAACTCGAAAGCCATCTGGTCTGAACCAGTTAGACTTGCAAAGTAGAGGAACTTGCCCTCTGACTTAGTTCAGTGCCCTTCCAACTCCAGACTGGGCTGGTCCCCATCTGGGAACAAGGTAACCAACACATGGGTCCCAACAAGGTAAGAGGGAAAAAGTGAAGATTCCAGCTGGTGAGATTAAGAGTGGAGGCAAGGAGAAAAAATTGTGAGGCAAGAGGTTCGAGTGTTTGTAGACAAGCCTTGGTCCATAACATGCCCCACTCCAGTCCTAAAACAAGTGGGGATGAGGGGAGTTCTCCAGGCTATTACATTTACACACCTTCCTGCCAATACAACCTGATGTCTGTGCTCTAGATCCTGAAGATTTGTTTCCATAAGTAGCAAGAACAGATTTAAGGGTGGGAAAAACAGAAACCACATCTGGAAGAAATTCAAGCTGTGCTTATCTCTTTGAGTCACTCTTCACTCCCTACCCCAGTCTCAGAACAAAGATTCCTGACATAGAATCACTGCCCTTAAGACAAGAGCTTGCTCCCAAGCAATCCCCCGCCTCAGCCTCCTGAGTAGCTGGGACTACAGAGGTGCATCACTACGCCTTGCTCTCCTTTTTTCCTATTTTTTTTTTTTTTTGAGACGGAGTCTCGCTCTGTCGCCAGGCCGGAGTGCAATGGCATTATATCAGCTCACTGCAACCTTTGCCTCCCGGGTTCAAGCAAATTCTCCTGCCTCAGCCTCCTGAGTAGCTGAGACTACAGATGCGTGCCACCACACCCAGCTAATTTTTGTAGTTTTAGTAGAGACGGGATTTCACCATGTTGGCCAGGATGGTCTCAATCTCTGGACCTTGTGATCCACCCACGTCAGCCTCCCAAAGTGCTGGGATTACAGGCGTGAGCCACTGCCCCTGGTCACTTTGCTCTTTTATCATCTCCCCAAGAACTACCTGAAGGATGAAAACACAATGGTGTGGCTCTGAACCTAATCAATGGAATTGGTCTGTCTGTCAATATAGTACCTCTTAATTTTAAATGCAAAAGCCTAATGTTTAATGCTCTATCCAGTTCTAAACAGACTTTTGCAACCTAACACAAGATTTCAATCATCACTGTTTCCACAGAAAAATACATTCCAAGTTCCCAACTTACAAACTTGAGGACCCAAGTTGATCTTCACCTGGTGACTTGCCTGTACTCATGTTTTGGTGTTTTCTATTCTAACTATAGTAAGCCTTCCATTGTAGTAAAAAGATTAAATCTCAGCATCTAATATTAATCCCACTGGCATGTAAGTTTCAGGTATGTGATTAAAAACCAATGCAATACCCATTTTACAACACTTTTCCCTTCTGAGAAAATGATTAGCTTATTCCTTAGCTCACCATACATTTTTAAAAACCCAAACTTTTTTTTTTTTTTTTTTTCCTGAGACAGAGTCTAGCTCTGTTGCCCAGGCTGGAGTGCAGTGGCCCAATCTCAGCTCACTGCAACCTCTGCCTCCTGGGTTCAAGTGATTCTCATGCCTCAGCCTCCCAAGTAGCTGGGACTATAGGTACACGCCACCACAGCCAGCTAATTTTTTTATTTTTTGTAGAGACGGGGTTTTACCATGTTGGCCAGGCTGGTCTCGAACTCCCAAGCTCAGGTGATCCACCTGCCTCAGCCTCCCAAAGTGCTGAGATTACAGGTGTAAGCCACCACGCCCGGCCAGAAAACCAAACTCTTAAAAACTTGCACTAAATCTTAACAGCATTTTCTGGTTTAGAATGAATTCCCAGTAATAAACTACAAAGCTCCATACACGTGTATGCTCAAAAAATATCTCGTGTAGGTACACTTTTAAAGCCAATGCTTTCACACAAAATTTGCGAAGTTTCCAAATGAGAAAAATACAAGCAAGCTGTTGAGTAAAACAATCTTCACCATCAGACGCTGCTGCAAAGTGACGGCATTCACTTACTGGCTCTGTGTATCCTCTCCCGGACTTCCATGTATTCCTGTTCGTGCTTTACAGCTGTCATCGCCACTGCTAGCTCATTGATCATTTCTTCTAGCTTGTTCTGGTGAGCTACAGAATAATTTGAAAACAACACACATTTGTCAATGTCTTTTTTTTTTTTTTTTGAGACAGAGTCTCGTTCTGTTGCCCAAGCTGAAGTGCACTGGCACTCAACCTCAGCTCACTGCAACCTCCACCTCCCGGGTTGAAGCGATTCTCCTGCCTCAGCCTCCAGAATAACAGACTACAGGCGCACGCTGCCACACCCAGCTAATTTTTGTAGTTTTAGTAGAGACGGGGTTTCACTATGTTGGTCAGGCTGGTCTTGAACCCCTGACCTCAGGTGATCCACCTGCCTCAGCCTCCCAAAATAGTGGAATTACAGGCATGAGCCACTGCGTCCAGCCATCTTTTTTTTTTCAAGACAGGATCTCACTCTATCACCCAGGCTCAAGTACAGTGGTGCAATTATAGCTCACTGTAACCTCAAATTCCTGGGCTCAAGCAATCCCCTGCCTCAGCCTCCTGAGTAGCTGGGACTACAGGGGTGCATCACTATACCTGACTACCATTTTATTTTTATTTTTTAGAGACAGGGTCTCACTATGTTGCCTAGGCTGGGGCAATCTCTTTTTGAAAAATACTTATAAAATAACTTTTTAAAATCCTCAGAGAAGGCCTGCAAAAGAAGCTACTTTTGAAATGGTTCAAATATCAATTTGGACCACTGATATGAATCATGTCAATTTAATTCTCAAAGCATTTTTAAAAGTCCCTTCCCAGTAGAGAAACCTCTTTCAGGGTAGGAAACATACTATATAATGGTTACTAAGGAAAGGAAAACAACCCCAGAAAATTTCTTTTAATGAAATGTTGTTTCGTACAGTTCACTATACTATTAACTATGGAAAAGTAGTAAAACACTGAGGAGGGGGACTAAGAGCACAAATAAATACATGTATTTTAAAAATATAATCCTACAAATAACAAAATCTAAGAGTCATGTAACTCTAATATTAATTAAGGAGCAGCACCAAAACAGACTTTTAATCTCTACGAAGCTGAGCAGAGAAAAACATCAAAACGCTCTTAGGAAAATCCACACCAACTCAAACATTCTTCTTTGACAAAGTAATGATTTCACTATAGTGGGGAACAGCAGGCAATGTAAGTAGAGAGACAAGTCCTTAGTGGCACAAGTTTTCAACCAGGTATCCTCTTGAACCAAAAATACACACAAGGTGCTGTTCTGAAGAGTAAGCATATGCTTTTAGGTAGTGCCACGTTATGAGAATGAACAGATAGGCAGGAGAGAAACAGCACCAGGAAACATTCCGGGGGGAAAGGGGGATCTCTTCATCCCTGCCCAAGACTGGGTCTCTTCTGGGATTCCAGATTCTCAAAGACAATCCCAAGTTTCTTAGGAGAAACCAAGGGCCTCTACCATTGAAGGTGGTTGAATTGGAATGTCAAACAGTCGCTCACTCGAAATTTCCCTTTGGAAGCCCCATGCACCACATGAAACCGATAGAGCAGGATTCCTCAGCAGTGGCATTGTCGCCATTTTGGACCAAATGCTGTTCCACATTGTGGGACGCTTTCTGATGCACTGTAGGGTATTTAGCAGCCTCCATGGCCTCCAGCCCTAGATGCCTGTAGCACCTACCCCCGTCTTCCAATAAAAAATGCCTCCAGATATTGCCAAATATCCCCTGGGGCAAAAAGATCATCCTCACTTGAGAACCACTGCTTTGGAGGAAGGCTTGATTTGACAGCTGCCATTCATTGACATTAACAAGCAAAAGCAAGAATTTTGGATATATGTTAAAAAATCATCTAAGAAGTTCAATATTCACATTCATCAACCAACATTTTCAAACTAAGTAGGATCAATCTCCAGAAAATAAACCAAAAAAGCCTTTCAGAACTCTTCATTCTCCCTGAAAATTAGTCAAGTCCTACTCTGTAAGTGGCCGTGAAAAATGGGCACAGGAATTACTAAGTAGCAGGACTCTCTAAACTCTATAGATTTCAAAATCTAACCAAACAACTCAGCTTCTTGATGACGTTAGCACTCTACTAATACTGAATATCTGGGACAAGTGTTACCATGCTAATAGGATACTATGAAATGTGTGAAACAATGACGACTAGCTTCAAAAACTCTGGCATGCACTGTGGGGAAAAAAAAACCCACCACCAAATGTACTGGCTCCCAGAAAGCAATTTATCCAAAACCACCAAGAACCAATCAGGGTTTATTACTGGTAACCTGGGCAATGAACAATCTAACTGCAACATACGGCTAAAAGAACTTTTGTCTTTGTATCAACATATGGCTCCTAGAACTGCATTTCATATCTAACCCAGCTTCAGGTTAGGAAGTCTACAAAATACTTTCTACAAAGTCAAAGGCACCATTTGCTATGAGCTATGTTTAATTGGGACTATTGTCCCCTTATCATTGAATTTCCACTCTTTAGCACTCTTCTTAAAGAACAAAGATGTTACTACTAAAATGTCAACAGTGTTTTCAGTGCTATTAGTTTAAAATAACCTAACCTATACTTCCTGTCAACCAAAGAAAAAACCACCAAAAAAATAATCAATCCAATTAGTTGTAGGGGTTTTTTAAGAGAAAAAACACTCTCATGCCAACAAACTGAGGTTAGAAAAAAGAAAGCAGAAATTAGACATTAGCAAACACGGATGCTGTCAAAAAGCAATCCACATACCGTCCCAGGTATCTCCACCACCTAAAGAAAAGTTAAGATATCTTAACACAAAAAGAACCAACAAAAAGTTTAGCTAAACTAGTCATGTATACAAATGAGCAAATAAAGTATATGCCAGGATTAGCAAATAAACAGAAAAAATAACCCAAGACACAAGGAATCTACATGCTCACAAGAGCACAAAATGACTAAGAAAACCTATTAGAACAAATGTAAAGAACAAAAAAATCCCAGCACTTCAGGAGGCCGAGGCGGGTGGATCACCTTAAGTCAGGAGTTTGAGACCAGCCTGGCCAACATGGTGAAACCCCGTCTCTACTAAAAATACAAAAATTAGCCAGGCATGGTGCTGTACACCTGACGCTACTTGGGAGGCTGAGGCAGGAGAATCACTTGAATCCAGGAGGCAGAGGTTGCAGTGAGCCAAGATCAAGCCATTGCACTCCAGCCTGGGCAAAAGAGCAAGACTCCATCTCAAAAAAAATAAATAAAAGAAAAATGAAGAATAAAAAAACAAACACTAGCCTCAAGAAACTTTTTTATTAATTAGGAGACTTGCAAAAAATAAAAAGCATATTTCACAAAAAGTTTTTGGTTAAGAAATTTTTAAAAATGCCACTCAGATGGGTAAAAATGTATAGAACTAAAATTAGCTCTTGGAACGTGATATCAATATTCTGAATGTTCATCTCACCTTCTGTTTCCATGTCTTGTCCTTTTGGAGCCTCCCCAATATCAATGGTGAACATTACTATTTTTGGAGTCATGGTGGACATCCGGTTACTAAAACAAAATTTGTATGTTCCGTCCATGTGAGCAGCAAATGTGTATTTCCCACTGGATTCTCTGTCTCCTTTGTAAATTCCTTTGTTATCTGGTCCTGTAATCTGGAGGCAAGAGAGAAATGCATAAAATGTCACAAAAGATTTAGTCATAGACTTTATAAGTAATGTCTAATGGCAGTAAGAAATTCACCAAGAATATGGCTGGGCATGGTGGCTCACGCCTGTAATCCCAGTACTTTGGGAGGCTGAGGCGGGCGGATCACTTGAGGTCAGGAGTTCAAGACCAGCCTGGCCAACATGGTAAAACTCCGTCTCTACTAAAAATACAGAATTAGTTGGGCGTGGTGGCACCCACCAGTATTCCCAGCTACTCAGGAGGCTGAGGCAGGAGAATCGCTTGAACCCGGGAGACAGAGTTTGCAGTGAGTCGAGATCGCGCCATTGCACTCCAACATAAGCAACAGAGCGAGACTTTGTCCAAAAAAAAAAACAAAAGAAATTCACCAAGAATATGTGACTTTCACTTAGCTCCACTTCGGTAAGTGATAATAACCATTTGGTCTGCAATTCTCCCACTTTATAAAACAAGGGTTGACTTAATGGCTCTCTAAAACACCTTTCAGTTCTGACATTTATGTCTTATTTATCCTTACTAAACCCCTCAGACAGAAAGCTCACCTGAAATGTGGTCTCTAACTGGCCTAATATCAGCAACAAACATGCAACCGTGACTGACAGCAAAACTCAAGATAAAACAAATATCTTTAAAATGAAGAATTTCTGCATCACCAACAAACATGCAACTGTGACTGACAGTAAAACTCAAGAAAAAAGAAATCTCTTTAAAATGAAGAATTCCTGCATCCCTGGTTGACGTCTTGATTGCAACCTCATGAGATATTCCAAGCCAGAACCACCCAGCTAAGTGTCTCCGTAATTCCTGGCCACAGAAACCACGAGATAATAAACGTTTGTTTTTTTTAAATATAAACAAAATGAATTTTTATCAAATTTCAAGGTTTTCTAGATTACTGCCGAACAATGAAGGAATTCTGCTTTATCTGAGATGCCTGAAGGCTTAGGGGAAAGGACTAGCCTGGAAATGAGAAGACCCAAACTCTCATCCCAGTCTGCTACAAATCAGTTGTTAGGCTGTGGTCAAGCCAGTCGCTCTTTCAAAGTCCATGTCACTCGCATAACTTCGAGACTGGAATAGTTGATCGCTAAATTCCCAGCTAAGTCTAAGAGTTTCTCCTTTCCGTTATCCCCTTATTTTTGGATTTCACTTGTATTGTGTAACTTGTGCCCAGCCCTACTGAGTACACTGTCAAATAGAAACTTTTTAGACTCAATTAGTCATGCCAGCAGATGAATTAAAATAAAAATTAGCGACACCTCATTCTTTTGGTTTACAAAACATGGGTGCAGATTTAGGGACTGCTGGTTTCTTAATTTCCTGTTTTCTCCTGATACTTCACTGCACTGCTTACTCCTAAAACACATGATCCAACTCCCCGTCTCTCTTAGGCAGAGGAGACTAAACGAGGTAGCTGGATATTTGTCTAAGAGTACAACCTTAAGGTTGTTTCTATGAAAAATAAACACGACGCGAAAGTATGCCTAGCATTCAATAGCTTTTTAATCCTCAATCGATTTAAATCTATTTTTTGGAAAAGTTTCCGTGCCATGTTCCAGCATTAATCCGTGACACGAAGGAAAGCAGGTGCTAATTGGATCGAGACCCGCCACAAGCTAACAGCGACTGAGAAGCGCCTATGGGGCCCGGGCTGACACGCGGCGCCTGATTCACAAAGCTCGGCGAGAGGTTCCAACAGGAACCCGTCGTTCAAGGAGAGAAACCAAAGCAACCAAGCATGCCGAAGGAGCCCCCAGGGAATCCCGGAATCCGGGCAAGTCGCAGGAAAAGGGGCCGTTAGGAGGTCGCCGTGGCCGGGGCGGGGCGGGGGGGTGGCGGCCTGGGCTTCTCCAGGACTCGGACAGCGACTTCTAAGCCCGCTCCCCAAGCAGGCCCCGCGCCGGCCCCACGTGCCACCAATCCCCGAGCGGCCATGCGACCAAGCCTCGGCCGCGGGCATCTCGCCCGCACCTCCACGTCGATGTCCAGGAAGCCGCCCTCCGCCACCTCGAAGATGAGGCCCATCTTGGTGCCCGAGGTGACCCGCTCAAAGAAGCACTCCTCAGCATGCGCGTCGATGCTAACGAAATAGCCCGAGACCGTGGCCAGGAGAGCGGCCAGAAGCACCAGCAGTTCAGCAAGCGTCACCATGGTGGGGCTGAGGCCGAAGCCAGGACCCGGACTGCGGCCTCCAGAGCCGCCGCCGCCGCCGCCCCGCTGCCTTCTCAGCCACCGCCGCCTAAGCTCCGCCCCTTCCGCCTGCGCCACTAGTGGGGGCTGATGCGGGCGCAGCGGATTGGCGGGCGCCGGCAGCTGCCACGTAAAGGACGCATGGCAGCCGCCGAGGGACAAGCGACTGTGAGCGGCCCGAGCCTGGACGGCGGCTCCGAAGGACCAAAATTTTTCCCTAGTCCTTTCGCGTCAAAGCTAAGTTCATGTGGACTTCTCAGGAAAACGACAGTGTCCAGAAGCCTCTGCAGTGCCCTCTTAGGATTGTCCAGGACGATGGCGAAAGATTTGCAGACAGCAATAGGAGTTGAGGGAATGTGCGGGCTGACACTAAGGTTTTTTTCTTCTGTTTTGTTTCGTTTTTGAGACGGAGTTCTCGCTCTGTCGCCCAGGCTGGAGTCCAGTGACGCGATCTCGGCTCACTGCAACTTCCGTCTCCCGGGTTCAAGAGAGTCTCTTGCCTCAGCCTCCCGAGTAGCTGGAATTACAGGCGTGAGCCACCACGCTTGGTTAATTTTTGTGTTGTTTGTTTGTTTGTTTTTTGAGACGGAGTCTCGTTCTGTCGCCCAGGCAGGCTGGAGTGCAGTGGCGCGTTCTCGGCTCACTGCAACCTCCACCTCCCGGGTTCAAGCGATTCTCCTGCCTCAGCCTCCTGAGTAGCTGGGATTACAGGCGCCCACCACCACGCCCGGCTAATTTTTGTATTTTTAGTAGAGACGGGGTTTCACCATGTTGGTCAGGCTGGTCTTGGTGTCCTGACCTCGTGATCCGCCCACCTGGGTCTCCCAAAGTGCTGGAATTATAGGTGTGAGCCACCGCGACCGGCCAATTTTTTTTTTTTTTTAATTTTTTAGTAGAGACGGAGTTTCGCCATGTTGGCCAGGCTGGTCTCAAACTCCTGGCCTCAACTGATCCGCCCTGCTCGACCTCCCAAAGTGCTGAGATTACAGGAGTGAGCTACCGCGCCAGGCCTGAAGCCATGGGTTTTGAGGGCTGTTTATTTGTTTGTTTGCTTAGAGACGGGGTCTTGATCTGTCGCCCAGACTGGAGTGCAGTGGCGCGCTCATAGCTCACTGCAGCCTCCAATTCCTGGGCAAGTGATCCTCCTGCCTCCGCCAGCCCAATAGCTGTAGGATTACCGTGGGATTACCGGTGCGAACCCCACTGGTTTTTAGGTTTCATGTTGCCTCTCCCACCCCTTCTCCTTCCCGGGGACTGGGGAGCGGTGGAGGCTCATACAGACCTGAAAGGGGCACCAAGGGAACCACCAGCAGTTCAGCAAGCGTCACCATGGTGGGGTCGGGAGGCCGAGGCGGTGGCATCACTGAAGGTCACGAGTTCGAGACCGGCCTGACCAACGATGGTGAAAACCCGCTTCTCCTACTAAATAACAAAATTAGCTGGCCTGTGGTGGCGGGCCCCCCTAATCCCAGCTACTTTGGAGGGTCTAAGGGAGAATATCTTGACCCGGGAGCGGAGGTTGCAGTGAGCTGAGATCATGCCATTGCACTCCAGCCTGCGTGACAAGAATGAAAATCTGTCTTCAAAATAAAAATAAAGTAAAAATGTAAAGTTCAATCGATTTTTTTAAAAAAGTAGACATTCACGTATCTACCACGTAGGTAAAGTACTACAGATTCCAGCAACGCCGGGAGGA